CCCCAAAACCCCAAAACCCCTTTCAGATTGATCGATAGCAAATTATGGGTAATAAAAATCATTAATTAGATTTAAAGGTGAAAGACGAAAATAATGACACGAGTTTTTGACTACTAATACTTAGAGTAACTTGCACTCTAATCAGTTCAGAATCAAACAGACACTGGGTTATTTATACCAACTCCATTTCCTATACCTCCATCCATATTAAATGTGATTGGAGTACTTTTAATACTCATTATGGTGATTTTAAGTAATGCTGGTGGCTTGGGAGGGGGAGGTAATTTGACTCCCTTCATTATGATTTTTTTCAACTTATCTTTGATTGAATGTATCCCAATAGGAAACTTCTTGGGATTTATTTCAGCTATGTGTAGGTTTGTCATCAATTTTAGGTAAAAACATCCGAATAACCCTAGAAGATTGGCTATTGACTATGAAATAATTGAACTATCTATGCCATTACTATATTTAGGTACACTATTCGGCGTGTAAATAGGAACGAGACTTACCGAGATTTAGCTGGCAATTGTTTTTGCCATAGTATTATTTTTTGTAGCCTTTAAAACAGCTGAAAAGGCTTATAAAATGATCAGAGAAGAAAACAAAAAGGCTTTAGCTTTAAATCAAAATCATTTGAGTTATATTGATAATCAATAACTTAAGACTAGATTGCTAAGTGAGGATTAAGACTTGATGCTTAAAAACCATCAGAAAATGATACAGCTTTAAAATGGACTAATAGAGTAATCAAGCTAGCTTTAAAGTATTATGAGAGAGGAAAGCTAACACTTCACAGTTAAAAGGTGTTTTAATTTCATAATTACACTTGGGTTTTTGATTATCACTTCTATGCTTTTGAACTCTAAAGATAGATTTGCAGTGAACATTTACTATCAGTATCTTGCAGTGGGACTATTCATAATTTACTCCCTTGTATCAACATACTATATCTCAAAGAATTTGCAAAGAAATTATTATATCAAACTTATAGAAGGCTATCACTTTGATAAGCATGATATTACCTATGAGAGCACCAAGCCAATCATCAAAGTCATTTTACTCTGCCATATATCAGGAATCTTAGGTGGAATAGTTGGAATAGCAGGCGGCATAATTTTGGGTCCACTGTTTCTTTAGCTTGGTATGCTCCCTGTTTTAGTTGCAAGCACTAATTAGTATCTAGCATTAATTTCCACTATAGCAGTCTCATTCCAGTATTGGTATCTGGGGATGCTTAATCTGCAGTATATAATCGTTTTGGGCTCTGTTACTGTGCTTGGATGCTATATTGGTATTAAGTAAGTTTAAGTAATAGTGCAAAAAAGTGGAAGGTAATCAATAATGGTTGTTATTCTTGCTATTGTCCTCTTCCTATCATTTTCAATGATCCCAGTTAAATACTGGCTTAAAAGTTTGGAGTGAGATCTAAAGTATTACAAGATCTAACTCCTAAAGCATTTCAAATTTACTACACAATTTATTATCTTTATTTACTTAAATCTACTAAGTGTTTCAAAAAAATGATTCTAGGGGTTTTGGGGTTTTGGGG